ATCGCCCGATACGTATTTGACTGCTCTAGGTGTGAAAATCCACGTGGGTCATTTAGGATAATCAACCGATAGAGCGACGCTCGCGTGCTTCAGTTCGCTGAAGTCCACTTTGTGTGAACAAACCGAGTTCGTCGCCAGCCTCAGGTTGCCTTCGTGAGCAAATTTTTAATAAATTAGGTGATGTACGTTAATGGGACAGTTGATATTGCATAGTAATACCAATTTCTGGTACGCTGTTGAAGTTTTGGCTAATGCACATCGTAAGCCGTGCCTTCGTCAAAAAGCTACTTTCGCACCTATGAATTGTGGCGAATGGGGTCAGTATTAATAAGGTTTTTCCCATAACACTGGATACTCGCCACCAATCTTTGCCCAAAACATTGTGTGAACTCAAACCCAATGTTTTTGTGTACTTGGTAATCCTTGCTGTTATCCCGATTCAAGGCATTTTCTAACCCATTTGTGCGTGATCCCTGATCAAACATATAGAGACTTCAGTGCCTTCTCACTTGTCTCAACCATCCCTTCCAATTTTTTCCTGGATGACAGCTTACCATCACCAATCCGTATAGATACGTCCTGAACACTAATCTTGTTTTGTTCATCCTACCTTGTAAACATTCGCTCGCTTCTTTACAAGGTCGGTTAAACTAAGTTCCCACCTTACTGTTCAATCAACTCTGCGATTCTACCTGGCGAATGACTGCCTGACTAAAAAGAAAAACGATGGAACAGTGACCTGATAGAGGCGCCATCTAGCTGCATTACTTTCCGGCTTGTATTCGTATTTTAGGTAATAAATATATTACCGAAAATTGTCTAATTCCTTGACCACACACTAATAATTAGTCACTGATGGCTAATCATTGGATAGTTAGTTACATCTTTCGTTACAGATCAATTAGTTATTAATCCTGTTTGGCGACTGACTGAAGACCTAATCGTTGTAGCCCGTAAAATACCATTTTACTTCCCTCGGAGGTAATTGCCCCCAGGTCCAGAACTCACTGGTCTAAGCTGAATGATGGCCAGCATCAGATTAACTTTGCCCATTTTCGATTCACCAATGATGTTACACGCTGAATGTCTCCGCATGCAACCTAGCCATTCTACTAAGTGTATGTAAACGGATGATGAGAATACGAAAAACAGCTGAATTCAGGTTATCCGATCGAAAGGTTGTTCTTTCTTGCCATTTTGAAATTTGTGTAAGGTGATTCGAGTTCGGGGCGTCGATTTCCAAACACCGGATTACATGTCTCATGTCATGTACTCGATTCTGTTGTCAAACATGAGCAATCCTCCGCAATGATCGATAGTAAAACACGGTTGTTCTCTCAATGTCCTCAGAGCGCATCAGCCACTTCGCTGATCAAAAGAGTAACGTCCATTAGACCACTGGGTTGTAAACCCTTCCCATCCAAAATAAAGTAATATCCCATCGTCTCCATAAGCAATTGGGGTATTTAGAAATGATGCGAGGAAGATGGTGGTGAGAGTAATATTGCCGCTCCCGGTTACTTCGAGTCGCCAAGTTAACCCACATGAAGATTTTCTAACTACTAGCTACCCGAACGCCACACACGAGCGGCCAGATTTTACCTGTTGGCGACATTAGAAGGGATCGATATGCATCTTAAAAACCCAGACATATGTGCACAAAAGAAACTGGTCCAAGTTTGCAGGCCACAACAACCACTAGCTGTTTGGACTGGCGACGCCGGCCATGTCACCTCCAAGAACTTAACTGTCACCACATAGCTTATTGAATAAACACACAGATGCATAGAGTCAACGCCTATACAACGTTTATTCGCTAGTTTCGTCCGTAGGTGTGTATCGGCCTTTACAACACAGAAAAGAAAAATCATAATGCATTCTCTAAGAATGTGTCTTCGGCCATGATCCCCGCATGAAAGCGTGATGAATCCAAGCTGTTCAGATTGAAGTCTGTAACACTGCCGAGCTGCCTCGAAATGGTGCCAGCTGGGTGGTCCGGGTTTTCTCGTTCCAACGAATGGTTCGGCGTCAGTGTGTTAGGAGGTGGTGGGTTTTCGCTTGCAATCACTCTACAATAAACCACATCTGTCCGTTTAACAATACTGCGACTGGCGAATGGAACTCGTCAATAAATAAAGTCTATGATCCTTGTTTCACTCGATGGAACATTTTAATCACTAGAGCATGGACCCAAGGTGTACTGGGGCCCCGCTGTTTGCCAACACACCAAACCAAAGGCGTACTAACTACAACATCGGTTGCCGAGACGTAAAAGGGCTATTCCTCTCATGCATTCATTATACACGTTGGTTAGAGGTGGAAAGCATAACAGCTATTTTGTCTCAATATATAAGAAAAGAAGAAAAAACATGCAACAGAAGCACGCCGCTGAGTCAACAGTAACGGATGGATATCATTCCGAAGAGCTAATAGCCGGCCATTCTGTCGCAAAAAAGTTACATAATTCCCAGTAAATGAGATTGTGGTTGGAGGGGGAAGCTAAGCGGAAGGGGGGAGGAAATGAAATGCACAACATAAACGCCACTGAAGTCGGCTCCTTGCCATATCGGCAAGTGTATCCAGCCAAAGGTATTCATCGTATTTCGGACCCCAATCAGGGAGCCGAGTGGCTCCAACCGAGGCCAACTTCGAAGTAAGAGCCTTCATGCTTCTTAACTAAATCATCAATTGGCCTCCCCTCTTCTTCAATCCACAGTCCCGGGGCAAAAGCAACGCATGTCGCTGGAGCCGGTGGGATGGTATGCGCAATACGCGGTCAAACTATGAGAGCCTGGTGCGTGAAATAACGGTTCTGAGCAGTTCACAACTTCTTCCTGTGTCAAAACCAATGCGTCGAACACGCTCATTGCTCACCCGGTGTTCCTACCAGATATGAGCCAAAGAGCGAAAACACCGGTGGACTATATGTCTGCCGATCTAATAGGTAAAGTTTCACAATCGTACAGTAGGGTCAAACGTACGGTTGCAGTATACACTCTACCCTTCATGGAGAGAGTGATGTTGCACCGGCGCCACAGATGACGAAGGTTAGCAAAAGCGCCTTGTGTTTTTGCTATACGGTTTGTGACCTATCTTCAATTCTAACAGTGCTGTAACAACTGCCTAAGTAGCTGAATTTTTGCACGACTTCTAGCTGATCCCCACCAATGGGCAACGAAGGAGGCGGTCATTGCCAATCTTTGCACTTCGAGGATGCAAAGCAAAGCCCGAAACGACTGACATCCAGCGCTAATCTGTCCAGTGCAGCTTGGCACGTTTGTGAGCTGTCGCAAATCAGGGCAATGTCGTCAGGGTATTCCAAGACAATAAGTCGTTCAGCTGAGAGCAGCTCCACACCTAAGTCGTGTCCTGTTAACGCGATCTTCATGACTTCGTCAACAGCGAAATTGAAGAGGAAAAGTGACTGCGAGCACCCTTGTCTTACACCGCTGGGGATATTGAAGGATGGTGACAGCTTGCCATAAACCCTCACTCTGTCCGAATTAGGCGCGTAAAGCGCTCGGATAATATTTGCATATTCCTCGAGCCCACCTTTCCTTAGCAGACAGCTCGGAAGGGCACAGCGGTCAATCGAATTGAAAGCACCTATGACGTAGAGGGGCGATTCTCTTATTTCTTTCAGGTACCTTGCTGGTAGAACATTCGATCAAAGGCTAGATGTGGCGTCCCCAAAGACGACGCTGTACTTCGGCTTGGGCAACCAAGTGGTATTAGGCCTACTCAAGAAACTGTGGATTACTGTGCATTGTGTTCGGTTCTTTTTACGGTAATTGTATCATCCATTGATTTCCACGGTTTTCGATGGTTTCATTCTAATCATAATCATGAAGATAATAATACCGATGGTGTCACCTCGACTGCCGACTGAACTTTTGCGATAAAATTGACAAGCTCTGTGAACAATTGGATTACCAATGGATGCAGTTGCTCTTACCCGCCTCGCAATTAGGACGAACATTTTTTTAAAAATGGGATGAGGGTGAAGGGTAATTCAAAAAGAACAACCGAATGTATCAGCTGATGCTTTAGAGGGTTAACAATAAGAAGTAGGGGAAATACGTCAGCAACATACAAGTACTTTGCGCTGAATTCTCGACGCCATACCACCGCAAGCGGATTTATGAAGATTCCGATCCTGCAGAAGCGCCCAAACCTATGCAGAGTGAGCTATATACGTAACTCTCAGGTCGCTACATCGCGCACGCTAAAGAAGTGAGGGAAGGCAGGCCGCTGGCCAAACGTGGCACAATACACATAGCTCAGTCTTATGCTGCAGCAGTAGTTGAGAAAGTCGGGGGCTTTTGATGCTCCGTTTTAGTTATAAGAAGAGACCCGTTATCGTTCGACCTGCTGCGTGGAATAGTGGCTAATCTACTGACAGGGGCAAAGACATGGTAGGACTAGTGTCAAGTGAGGATGACCAGCTTAAGGAGCCGGAAATGGTTAGACAGTACGCCGAAGCCTCGTAGCGATGCTTCGATAACACGGGACCACCAGTTGCTTTACGAAGGCTGGTATAAAACGTGATCCACAACACTCGTGAGTCGTGGATTACGAGTCGAACGGCTAAACTAATCCGCCGCCGATGGGGGAAAAGAGAAGTAGTCACGTCAGGTGGGACAATTGTTTTCTAACTGAAAGAAAGAAAAGGGATGTAAACATCGTACGTACAACAATAATGAGTGGTTTGTTGGATAGCACTTGAGCATGGGTTTAAGTTGGTTGATTGATCGCTCTTTCGTGGGTAACATGTAGCCGTCTAGACAGTGAAATAGCAGGAAAAGACACACATGTAATCGGAGTAGAAATGGCATCAACAACTATTTGTGTATGTAATAACTGAGAGAAAAGAAAACCGCCGGTAGTGTGAATGGCAAAGTGAACAGCCAAGCGCAAGAAAATGGAAAACCGAGTGGAAAAAAAATCAAATGCGTAGTGTTACGGATGTTCTAAACAACGTGATCGCAAAATCAACTCACTGCAGCGCCTCCATCGACATCTGTGACTGAAATTCGGGCAGAAGGAAGACCGAAACGTGTCAACCTATCTGAAACTTGTCTGACAATATTGTGCTCCGAATCTGGGTGATTTTCCGAAAAGTGAAGTTGTATAACGTGTGTGCCAATCTCAGATGAAGCAACCACAGCGCAGCCAACAACAGATGGATACCCCGATGTACACGAGTGGATGTACTCCACTGCGTCCGAGTGCGGAGTTAATCGATTGGTGGCAACCAGGAGGAAAGCGAAAGACGTCCTCTCCTCAAACGGAGGATTCTGCGAGTACCCGTCCGCAACAGTCGTTAATGCATTAGAAAGAGGGTGTGAATACACTGAAGGCACACCACTGATACCAGTACTGCAGGCTGGAGTGTGGGGCAAATGGAGACCAGTGCTCGTTGTTTGATTTTGCGATCCCGGTCCCAGGCGAATGATGGTATCTCTGAGGTCTAGGAAAGAAAACCGTTGGCAAGTGAATGAACGATTGTCCTTGTCACAGGAAAGCAGATAACGCATGTAGCCGAATCTATGTGTAGAATGGGGTGTTTTGGTTTAAAAAAATCTTCCGGATCAAAACACAAGTGGGGGTTATTTAAACATGGATATTCACTTGAGTTACCTGAACTTCAAGAATCGAACCATGACGGGCTTAATAACTGCAGGCGAGTAACAAACGCAAGTGAATGAGATTGAGTAATACAAAGAATGCATAGAATACCATTGACATAGTGGTGCATACTAGTTTTATATGTGACTACGTAACCGATTCCAGTAAGACCAGCGACTAGGACAGTGCGCAACAGCCCGGTCACGTGCTTTAGCCATATGGGTTGCTTAAAACAATTAGTTCCACTGAGCGATTTGAAAAGCACAGTGAGAAGAATTTCGGAAGATAAAGGGGTTTCATATCGTCTCTTCGGTGCCAATAACGATAATGCAATTATATACAATTGTCAATGGGTGTATACAAAATTGCAAACAAACGATAAGAAGTATAGAAATCTCGCTCCTACGTCCATGATAACTTGAGGATGACAGATAATTGCCTTCGAACGAAAAGTACCGGCTATATTCGGCTGATCGCAACAGCGTCGGCGAAACGGAGAAAACGGGAATCGGTGTATCGCAACAGAACTTTGAAGGGCGTGCTGACCTCAATTCAGTGACATGAGGTTAATAAATACCTGCCGATCGAAGATGCTGACGGTCTGTGTGAACGCGTATCCTTAGCTGGACATGTTTGCTACACATTTTGGCATGTGTTCCTTCAATCGGGAACTCAAGGTACTATGGGCTCTACCCATGTAACTAGGTACACTCGACAAGGCGCCTTAGTTGTCAGTGGACATACATCAGTATGTCGTACTGTGTTTCGTTAGCACGTCATACCGGTGAAGAATGGTTCCCAGCATAAAATGTCTTAAGCAGTCAATTGGGACCAGAGAGCTTTGTGCAAGACAAACGACTAAAGTCAGCAAAGCACGTAATGGATAGGCAAATTCTCAATGAGCCGAAAGTCATAGTACGCAATGACTGTGACTTAGGCGACTTAAACGAGCCGATCTCAACAAACATCACTAGGTGGAAGCTTTAACCAAGTATCACTAATCTCATGAAGACAAAGCCAGCTAAAGGCAATCATTTTGTAGATTTCGAGTTTGACCAAATGCCCAAATGTTGCAGAACGCATCCGTGAGACTATGCAATGAGTGTGGCAACAAACTGGAGGAAGGCGAACACCAGGAATGATGGGGATACAAAGAGTGGGTCCAAGTATGTAAAAGTACCTTGCGCTTCGAAAGTGCAGTGCATAAGACAAAAGCCCTCAGCCCATCTATTCAGGAGCATTTGTACAATTAACGGGCCCGACACTGGGAGGTCAAGGTCATCCGCGCACTTAAGGTTTGCCAGTTGTTCATTTGATAGAAACTCTAGTCTAGAAGAGACTGACGGGACATATGAGACAACCATGACAAGTTGTGTGATGAAAATGGCAGCTGTACTTGCTAACCGCCGGAAGTTATTCCGTCTGATACGGGAAATAAACAGTAGTAGACTTGGTGTCAGCGAAACCATCCGCGACAAGAGTGGACATTCAACCCACAGCTTGTCAAAACGCCTACAGCCATGGGCCGAAAACTCAAAAAAAGTTTAATAGACAAGAGTTAGCATCTTCCTACACAGCCATTGGTGGCCTTCCTTCCTGGGCCAGAGCGCTGTACGTGCGAAGTACGAGCAGAATGAAAGCTTATAGCAAACTGTCGAAGCCATTCAATAAAGCCAGCCATGTGAAACAGGGTTGTTCGTCGTCACCTTTCCTCTGCAACTTCTCATTGACGAAGTTATTGAACCGGTTTTCACCAGCCAAAACATACAATGTGTGGAGCTGCTTCCAGGTGAGTGATTTATTGATTTGGAGTATGCTGACGACATTGGCCTCATCATCACCATCATCAACAGCAGTACAAATGATCGTTCCACAAAAGGAAACGTATCCCGCTCGTTGGGAAATGTACCCAATTATTCATTTACTAAAAACTGATGCCTCGCTGCCATACAATCATAACGACCTACGGAACGAAAAATAATAAGAGGGATAGTAGGAGGTACCGTAAAACTCTAATACCCCAAGCAAACATACTGAATCAAGGCGCCTACACATCGTCAACAACATACCGTCACAAACAGCTGCTTATTGTGCAAAGACAAGGCAACATCGAAGAGACAGCTTCTTTGCGGATTTCATTAGCTCGCGGCATTATCAGCTATTACCCCGTAGATAACTCAGCACCAAACACACTTTAAACGCAGTCCGACTAAGATACAGCAGCAGACGCGTCACTGGTGCTAACTGCGAGCCATGTTACGAAAAGTCTCGAACCAAGCACAAGGCTAGTCACGTGGGCTGCAGCCTGGAAGATGAGACGGACTGAAGGCAGCAGGTTTAGTCGTCAGTGACTTCATTTCCCGCTGTCAAGTCAACTTTTTTCCACCTCAAATATTGCGCCAGACTACAGCTGGCGGACAAAACAAGGTCCTGCTCGGTAAGTGGTGACCGGGCATACGTAGCACGTGTCCAAGCAGCGCAACTTATTTAGTGCTAATTTGGTGTTCTAAGTAACTAGCTTGGACACTTTGCCTAGCACTCGCCCACACACATCATTGTTCAGGACATGTTGGTGCCACCGGACACCAGCAGACTTGAAGGCGCGTCAGATCTTCAGACCGGAGGAGCCAAGTCACATTACCATAAAATAGGACGGCCCTCACTGTGGCCTTGTAAGCACGGCCATTCAAAGGGAGGAAAACCCTTTCCTGTCGCCAAAGATGTCGCAGATTCGAAAAGACAGTCCTGGATTTTGTAACACGTTGCTATGCGCTCATCACTGCTGATACAGATGCCAAGTTAAGTGAATTGATCAACTACCTCGAATTCCTCACCATCAAAGTGCGTGGTGGTCCTGCAGCAATACTGTACTTTGAAGGTGCGAAGCGCATGCCGAATAATGGAACCACTCATAAGAGGTTATTCAGGATTGATTGGATCACCGCAAAATCTTTAAACAGTAAAACGATATCGTCCGCATAATCAAGAGCAACCATCTTTCCTCCTGGCAGCAGCTTAATGGCTGAGACATGAGATTCCGCAAGGGGACACTCTATGATGGAGTCCCTGACGAAATTGAACAAAAATGGGGAAACCGGACAACCCTGACAAACGTCAATTGTTGTAGGGAAGATATCCGATAGGTCATCGTGGACCCTGACGTGGCCTGTAGCAGTCGAATATAGTGCACGTAAAATGTTTGCATATTTCATGGGGAAAGATTTCCGCGTAAATATTTCGAACAGAATGCATCGATCGACCGAATAGAACGCACCCTTGAAATCGAGGAACACAGCTATCGTCGGTCTGCGGTATGCGTGGCACTGCTCTAGCATTTGAAGCAAAGTGAATGTGTGGTCTATAGAGCTACGTCCGGGGCGGAAACCTGCCTGCTCTTCCCTAATCCTGAATTTCCGTTCCGCAGTGACGCGACGAAGGAGAAGCAAGGCCGATAATTTTATCACAATTGGCGTTAGGCGAATACCATTGTGGTTAGCACACTCGGTGCGACTGTCCTTCTCGTATACTGACACTAAAATCAATATACTCCAGTTAGCCGGGACGGTCTCCTCCTTCAACTAAGAAGCTACATCACTAGGTCGTTTTCATTAACCAAAACAAGCACCAAAATCAAGCACTGAAACTCGTAGTGCGACATACTCTAGAGTACTGCACCATCATACATAACCAATTAGATAAAAGAGATAGAAATGCTTTAGAAAACGTCCAGCGTTCATTTACCAAAATGCTTTTGGGGCGCTGGTCAACACCTACCTTGTCAAGTCAAGTCAACAATGTGCTTTATGCACCCACGAAAAGTGAATATTCACCTACAAGATACACGCTATGGGCATAAATTAAGGTAAATAAAAATACGACAAACAGATATGGTGCGCCACCAATATGGAACGGTGACAGTGATTATATCATCGATTCAGTCTGGCAATATGTCTTGTTTGACTACATCTCGATCCCTCAGAAAACGTGACAAATAGGGAGCAACTGACGTACTGTAAGCCTGTGTGCCGGCATGAATGGCTTTGTACCTTTGTCTGATCGAAGGCGTCAAGATACATTCGGACAATGTGCAATGGAGATGGTGATTGGCATCAGTGAGTAGTTTGGACGTCAGTTTCTCGCAGGAGCAGACAAAATTGGACACAATGATGTCAACAAACATTAGCATGGAAATTCCGCTGCACCCAGCAAGATGCTTTAGCGTTTAAGAGTCCGTTTAAGAGTCCAGGAATTATCCGAGTGAGCAATACGTCCCCATTGCGGCAGTACTCAAGCTATGACAAATCGCAAAATCAAGTAACAAGGCATGGATGAAGACCTAAGTCGGGAGACGTAGAACGTTAGTCCCCTGACGTTAGTGAATGTTTCAGTCACATGATATGACCAGGTGAGATTCCGATTTAGTTTAACTCCGAGATATTTCATTAGTGTACAGGTGTTTAAACTGACACTGTCAATAATAAGGTACGGCGTGTGCGTCAAGAGCTGTTGATAATGATTTTCCTTGGACAGCGAGGAAACAACACTTATGCGTTGAGTGAAAGACAGCAGGATTCGGACCAGGTGAGGTTGTCCAAGAAGCATTGCAAGTTAGCCGATTAATCTGTTGTGTGATTGTGTACGCCAAGGGTTACGTCATCAGCATACTTTAGTAGGATGGCTTCCTTTGGAGCAGGAATGGAGTTAATGTAGGCAGAAAATAGGAATGGGGACACAATGGCTCCCTCAGAAAGACCTGGATTTCTGGTGAGTGAGGAAGAGCTTTTTCCCCAATCTTAGTAAACTGCGTACGATTGACAAAATAGTCTGTAAGGAAAAGTACTAATGAAGGTTGAACTCCGGAAATTAGCAGATCGTGTAACAGAAGCTCGCGGTTTACACAGCCAAACGCATTGCTGTAATCTAGGAAACAGATCTGCGTGGGTTTGTTTTTACCCTCGGGTGATGAATTCATGGAGTGTATAGGGCAGGATAATGCATCTAAAGTGGACCTTGAATTGAGATATACGAACTTAAAAGGATTGCTTGTGGGGGTTTCGACAAGCATTCTTTCGAGTTTGATGTGGTCAAATGTCTTCAAAGCCACAGACGTACAAGCAATGGGCCGGTACTTACAGGTTCCTTTTTTGGTACATGTGCAATGCGAACGATTCGAAAGCAGTCAGCTAACTTGTGTTGATGTATGCACATAGTGTACAGTTCAGAAAAAGGTCGTGCTAATACATTAGCACATTCCTTGTGGACTATCGGAGATAGTGCGTCCGGACCGGACGCTTTGAACCACTGTATCCGTGTTAATTCCCTGCGAACTGTTATGCTATTTATGGGTGGTGAAGGTTGTGGGGAGAGCTGCAACAGTAAAGATGGTAAGTGCAATGTTGAATTATCTATATGATCACAGAAGTTGCGGTTTAATTCCTCCACATCGAGAGAAGTGTGTGTGACAGTTCTGACGATTCCATTCAGGTTCTTCATCATTTTCCATATTTCTCAGCAATTATAGTTTCCATGTATAGTTTGGACATAAAAATGGTTAAGGCGACATATTTCATTTTTATATCCGTCGATAAGGACTTTACTGAAGCGGTGTCTTTGCGCTTGTAAGCTTTTCTTGAGTCTATGCAGGCAGTGAGATGAAAACCTATCTGCGAGAATGAGTATGGTTTCCATAGGACAACAAATAGCGAAGCAAAAGTTTAAGTAGCAGGTTAAATGAGCACAGTACTTAGATACATCGGAGTTGGAAAATGTATTGAAGTCTGTAGAAACAACAGTTTCGAGTAGTACTTCAATGTTTCGGGGGAGACATTGTCTTTGTGTTAACTTGCGATCTTTGCAGTGAATATCTCTAATTCGTTTTACCATAAATCATCGGAGATACCTTTATGGTGGCATGATCTGAGCTCCCAAGCGATGCCTTGGTACAAACAGAAAAAGTTTTTAAGTCGTTGACAAACACTAAGTCTAGGGTTGCTTGTAACTTTGTTGCAGACTGCACGACGTTCTTCAGTTCAAGAGTGGTAATAGAACCAGTGTCGAATCTTTTGAAGTCACCGGTATAAACACAAACAGAAATCTAGGTATTCAATGACGGTAGTTGTAAAGTCGTCATAAAAGTTTCCAATATCAGGTATAAGGCAGCTGGAAGAAATATAGATGTTGGCTAACAGAATCGAACGACAACCGCTCAAGTATCGAAGCCTGCATTTCACAATTAACCAGCTAATGTGCTGCGCGTAATGACGAAAAATAATTTTTGTCGACGTGCACCATGCATTTATGTATGTGATAACACCACCGCCACGGTGCCTGTACATGGGCGGTCAATGCGATGCACTGTAAATGGGTCAAGGGCCACAAATGTATCTTCTACGTCGTCGTGCAGGCAGTTTTCGTGTAGCATAATGACAGCAAGTTGAGAGTATTCGCAACAGCTTGTTATACTTTTAAGCTCTTCTAATTTTCTCACAAGCGAACAGATGTTGGTACTGATCAAAATAGGTATACTCATGCGGCTGAGTATTTTCCTTCGAAGTGCAACCCACCATCCAGTGCGGTGCTTTCTTGTGGAACTACTTCATCTTCATATGATTCTTTTCAATTTGTTCCGTACAGACTGACCAGGAGAGTGTTAGATTCACGTTCGTGTAAACGCGCAGGTTTTTTAAATGTCGCGAGCGCAAGCAATCATGACGCGATTGGTGCAATGGAAAACTGATGAATTAAAACAAAGGGGTAATAAAATGGTGAATGTTAGCGTGTGTGTTAATAAATCCGATGGACAGGAACGATGTCCTTAACTCCAGTTTGACCTACTCTGGCTTCCACGGCTGTAAAGCAATCCAACTCTTCTCTACACTTGCAAGTCTTATAAAACGGTTCAACCTATCTCACTCGTAATGGGAAATGTCTACAATTCTCACAGAAGACCAAACAAAATATCCGCTTAAAATTCTTCTTGGTGAGGCATGACCATCTGTGGAATAAACTACTGTCGCAATTAAGGACCGGTGAGAGCCCATCTGGATTTAGATCACTGTTAAAACTTTTTTTCCACGCCAAATGTGGCCAAACATTTCGACGTTCAGTAACTTACGAATAAACTCATGGAATCCGGTCCGAAAGACGAAAAAACCAGCTTTCCAATAATTTTACTTATTACAGGTTCTACAAGGTATATTATTATTTATCCATATTGAATGCGCTTAAAAATGAAATACTGATGAAACTTGCCGTACAAATGATCGTCCCACAAAAGGGAACGTATCCCATCCATCGGGAAATATATACAGTTATTTGTTTATTTACCACTATTGGGAACGAAGATTTGCTAAATGAAATGCAACAGCTTTGGAGGAAATGCACGACATAGCACTAGCTTAGTCTTGTCCATATACCGTGTGAGCGCTCCTGGATAATTTGGTAAGGGGCGCTGTGCACTCCGGTGTACGTATCGCATATTCAAACTGTAAAGCAAAACTTCCACCGACTATCACAAATACCAAACAATAACTCGAACTGGCTAACATTTCGCCCAGCTGTATCACAGGTAATTGGCAAGTTACTAAGAAGTACTGGGGATATTAGAAGCGACTGCATGGCTCTCCGTAAGCCTCATCCTCTGCTGAGACGGTTAGTAGTTCACTGATCGATAAGTAGCAGACTGAACAATGATGCATCGAGTCCAGTTTGCCTGTTTCGATCATTGGCATGACCAACGGTGGACTATGATCGCTAGTGTTTACAAAGTATCAATTGCAGCTGATGCGACGCTGATGTTCGTTACCTGGTGACTGATACCATCCCTGAATTGTTTTGCATGCTGAAAGACCGCCTTACACAGTACTTACTGTTTGCCAACGCCGTCTATGACTGCATGAAGCCCCAAGATTACTAGTCCATGCCATGGAATAAAGGTGTGAAGATAACGATCGAAAAACTTGACTGGGTGGTGCATGCCGTCGTCCTGTACGGGGGTCTTCTGATTGGCTACACAAGTGATGGCACAAGTTGTTAGTCATGGCGTAGTTGCAAAGTCAGAAAAAAGCATCAGCAGTACGCCAGTACGCAGTACCGACGCTTCGCTGCTATGCAAGCATCAACGGTCATACGTGGGCTAAGGATACTGCGAGGGTGGGGGGTCTCTACGCAGGATCGAACCCGCGCCGTCAGATTACTAGTCAGGCTTGTAATTCTTAAGACTACGGGCCGGCTCACAGTGGCACTGTTCTACAAAGCTTTTCTGCCTTCTGGTGTGGACCCCCTCATTCGACAGTTCTGAAGCAGTTCCACTTCGTCCGACCTTAACCACTGGATGTTCGTTGGTGAGCTTCCATTTGTGTAATCCAATTATGTGTCAATACGAGTCATAGCAACTGAATACACTGCATACCAATACGTGAACGAAATGAAACGAACTATTGTAGACTAATACCTGCGAAAACAAATGCAGTGAGTAGAAAAATGCAAACGGAAATAAAATCTCGCGAGGAACCATACACGCGGGGTTGAAGAAGCAGTAGTGAAGATGAACTCACATGACTCGGGAGTGATGGCATGCAGGTAGTATACACCAAAGCATCCGTTCGATACATCTTCCGATACAATAAAAACACCAGGAATATGATGAAGGATAGACAACGTCTGCTTCCGATACTCGGCTCCAACCGGAGATGGAACTAGAAGATGAGAGAGTGGAGTGGAAAGATTGCCGGTTGCTAGCTCTGGGTATGTAGCCGCCGGATCCAAGGGTACGGAATGAAAACCCAGTTCGTTCACATAATCTGCGAGAGTTTGTGCGTTCACGGTTTTGTCAGGACGATAGGCAAGTAGCGCGCGGTGATTTTCAAGTGAAACCTATACGAGAAAAACGTAGGTAAGGACAGTTCAGTTGACGACGTGTGCTGAACATGACAGGAATCTTGACTTGGACTGTCATTTACCCTTAGGTAAACCGTGACTCTTTTTGGCCATAGTATTTTATCCAAAGTAGTAATTTTCCTGTTGCTCCTGACACCATACAGTGCCATCTAGGAAAAAAGAATACTCCGTTCAGACAGGCCAAATAAAGGAAACGTGTGCTGAGAATCGATGCTGGGAGCGCAAGGAAAGCAGCTCAAATTTTTGAACAGAAGCTTAGCCTCCAATGTGGGATTATATGAACAGCATGGACAAGTCGGTATTGACTAGTGGTAAATGAAATTCGTAAACCCTTGTGGCAATACCTAATCCTTTGAAAGTGAGAAGAATATGTTGAAGCAAATAACGCGGTGTACCCAGATTTGACAAAGCATGTGCAGAAGGCGGATCTAATTCGCAAACCACTCACTTGGCAGATAGGACACTCGTATAAAATCATTTTGATTATAAAATTGGAGAAAATGTACCGCGAACCCAATGCGCCCAACAATAGCGGGTAACACGGAAGACAGCTTCCATAGGAGTATACCGGAAGCCGCAAAGAAGGAATTTCAACGAGAACTTAAAAGACGGCATGGGGTTCCCATTTGTTTCAGTTAAAATTGCAAAAAATGGGAAGAACATGTGAAACAGAAGTTAACACTATGGAGAATAGCTGAGTTTTGTTCCGGTTTACTGGATGTGCCGGTTGAAGAAAGCTAGCAACTGACAAGCAACCCAAAAAGACGGACCGATAGTCAATACCTAAACACGCCAATTGGGTTGCTAAGAGGTATATTTTCATAGTAATACAACAAGCTCACTGAATTAATGAACCAATATGAGACGCTGACGTAAATGCTGCTATCTATTCGAGTTCCGGAGAGAAAATAGGACTTAGTCAAAACCTAGAAAAAAGAAGTAGCAATTTGTAAGACTTTGAGAGCAATGGCGATAAAACAGGCCAGTTAAACCGTTCCATAATAAACGTCGTCCGAAAGGTCCAGTCGAAGTGTCTGAAGGTAGATTGATAGTTTCTTTTGCAACCACTGCTTCGTTAAATAGTGGTTTCCTTCGACCAGTACATTAAAGGTATTGGAAGGGAACTCAGCTGATCCTATGGCAATTGACCTCAAGTGTACAAGCTTCTGGCACGTAGCATTGCACTTGGGCAAACATGAGAGACCAGCTCAGACGCGCCAGAGGGTTGTGAAAGTCTTAGGAATGATTAACCGATAAAACCAGTCTTCGCGCTTCATTCATGCAAACAGAAATAGCAGAAACGTGTTCAACAATCGGACACTGCAAGCCAGGTGAACAGATCACCAAAACATCAACATTCCAAATCAGTCAAAAACGGACAGTCAGCTGGCTACTTCATCCTGAAGATAAGTGACAAGCGACGGCTTAACAAAGGTGAAGGAACCGGTAGTAAGAGTATGCATCCAGGAAAAGAGTCAGCTCAGCTCGAAAAAGTAGTGTACCTGAAAACACACTATTGAAGCATTTTGCAACCTATGAGTTTACCATAGTTTCAACATTCACAACGTCCACTTGTTTACCGACGGCGCTTCCGATTGCACAAACTGCTTTGGTGAGTACCGTGCTGCACCGTTTCTCGCTCGCGTTGATTCGCTTCCGACTTTTGTAGCCAGCACAATACACGTTGGGTTCAGTTGCCGCCAACTTCTATACTGTCCCGTAGTTGACACGTCTCTTCCGTGTCATTGATTACCGACTAGTACCCCAGGCGCCGCACAACAATTGGTGACCCCGGTCCAGAACACGCCACCCTTCATTTCGAATTTTCATTCTGGTAAGCTCATTCCAGTAACTTGGTGATTCACTAATTGTAATCGTTTTGTTTTCTCACCTACCTGTCGCGTAGATCTGCAACAAATGTGGAACTTGTGGAAATGATACGATGTTTCTGTACCTAGAACACATTAAAACAGTGAGTTTGGATTCAAAGCAAGTGTCGTCTGTTGATCAATCTGACAGTGTGGAGAGAATGAATTACCTAATGTGAAATGGAACACTAGGTGTGAAATATCAGCAGGCTTTCGCAATGGTTTGGCTGGAAAGGTCAATCGTGGCATCTCGTATGCAAACATGAGAAAAGGATAAGTGAAGAGGATAAATAGAATGAAAGAAAAGATCACTGGCGACTTTGACGTGTGGGCATAGGGCACTCACCAACTGCCCATGCCGACAGAGGGGTCTTGTTCCAAGTGCTACAATACATATGGTCTGTTGACACAATATGGTCCACAGAACAGCTGGATAAATGAAGTCTCGCCTAATGGAATCTATTCAGACTCGTTGACCCAATGACATGCCCATCAGGTAGTGGGGAGCCGTTTCAGCTTAAGCGCGTGATTGCAAGGTCCCAATGAAAACTACCTGAGACTAGTCACAGACAGTATCGGAAGATCCAGAACAATTTGTTTTTTCACCGAACCTATGACCACGGCCGATCGTAGGCCGAAAATGGCGGGTTCGCACCTTTTGACTAGCGGCTGTTGGGTTTCAATCGAGCGGTAGTAAGCCATGGCACCCAAACACCCTCAGATATGACTCGGTGTTCGTGCTTCATACCAATCTAGCTATTATAACCCGAGCCATGTAAGATGAGGAGTATCGAGTACGTTTCGTGTTGAGACCAGCAAAGTGATAGCAGTTCGAGCATGCTGTTTGGGAGGATCAGCAGTCATACACTAAATGCGTCCATTTTAGCTGGTGGTGAGATGGTTGAGTTGGGCCCAGCAGTGTGAGTCACTCGATAGCCGTAAAATAATACCCGTTGAACCTTCGTTCTGCAAGGCAGTGGCGTTATGGATGGTGTAATTAGTCAATCTGGTAGTCAACGTCAGCACGATGATGAACGACCCCACAACAGTCTGCTAGTTGCTGTTCGATCTCCGATAGGTGGCCACCTTGGCACACTGAAGAGATATGGGAGTTTCTGTTAGAATTCATCTGAGGGCAGAGTTGAAGCGCACCTGACATGGGTTCAAACAGAAACAATGAAAATGCCCCACGACATCGGAAGTGGAAAAGTTACTCTACTGGAAATCTGAAGCTGACCGTGTACGTTGCTATTCACTAGGACCACTGGAGAATACTGACTTCAGCAGATCTTATGAGTGAACCAACGACACCGTAACTGTAACCACCGACTCAATAACCCAAGAGATAAGAAATGACAACCTTTGTTACTGGAATCAGGAGGAGGTACTTATAATTTCCCTAAGATGCACTCTCGCATGCGTGTTTTGGGTCACAGAACGCATTAGTTAGAACGCTGAGTGAGAGCAAGAGTTCCATAGTGACCGACGATATGCAGCGCGAATTTCGAAGAGTCAGACGAAATGCGATCGTTAAAATAATTTCGGCACAGCGCTAATACATGTGAAAGTAAACGTGGCCTCATGTTCTTCAACTACTGAGAAAAAATGACGATGGATAAGTAATAAAAAAGATTGGCTACGGCAGAATTCTGTGAGTGGATGAAGACTAGGCTTCTGGGTCCCGATTGCAAGGGAGAGTTTATTCGAGAGTACACATATCTAACTAGCATTATAGTCTGGCCATCACCGTAGTGGAATGAGAAGTGTTAAGTACAGTGGGTTCCAGCCAATCCGTGACTTTAGAGATCACAAGCCTGCCTTGTAATTCGGAGGTCGCGAGTTGGAGCTTGCGTAGGAGACCGGACAGCGAAGTATTTTCAGCCCACGAGCGACGTGGTGGTTGTGCGGCAGCGAAGGGTCGGTATCGCGTACTGGCTTACTGCTGATACTTTTTATTACAGTGGATTCCTAAGGGAACATATGGCACAACGCTATGACCTACAAAGGATACGAGTATGTTAACTTAAAATGTCTCAACAATTTAGCAAAGGGCTGCTACACAAATTCTTAGTAAGTTTAAAATAATCGGTTAAGTTGTTTGGTAGCGATAGGCAATATACTTCCAAATACCAAAATTTTCCATTATTACGCGTCGGCTAAAATTGAGAAACACTGTAGCAATCATTGCAGAATATAAAAGAAAAAACACAAAAACAGTTAATAGAACATTATGCATTGGGAATGAGATGGTAGTTTGAGGGGAGGCTAAGTGAGAGGAGGGAAAAAACTAACAACACAAACACCACTGAGGTGGGGCATTCGCCATGTCAACTAGTGTCTCCAACCAAATATGTTCAGTGCCTTTCAGAGCACAGCGTGGCAACATGGGTAAATCAACCGACGACAAATCCGAACTAAGGGTTTCTATTCCTCTTGCCGACCCGTATCCCTACGAATCACAAGCTTGCCTTGTAATTCGTGAGCGCGGGTCCGAGCCCGCCTAGGAACCGGGCGACCCTTGCGATATCCTTAGACCATGTGCGACTGGTGGTGGTTGCGCGGCAGCGGAGCGTCGGTACTGCGTACCGCCGTACTGCAGACGCCTTTCCCTCTCCTCTTCTTATTCCATCTACACTCCTGTAGCACAAACGACGCAGGGAGCGAGAGTCGGTGTGCTGGCATGCGCAACACGGCCAAATCATCGCACACCGGTGAGTGATATAACGGTGCTGAGTGGATTACTTGCCTTTTTGCACCAAATGCATGATGTAAAACACGGTCATTGCTGTCGCGACGTTTCCACCAGAAATGAGCTAAGCTGCGAAAGCAGCGATGGTCGAACATAACAAGCCTCATTATGTGTGTTTATCTGGTGGACGAGGTTTCGTAGCCATACCGGTGAGTTGAGCGGCCGGCTACATTAGAAACTCGGCCCTACATGGAGAGTAATGTCAAGCCGGTGTGACAAATGACGAAGAATGAGAAAAGCGACGAGCTATTGCTTTACAGTTAATGGTGTCATTTTCCATCCCAAAGACGCTAATATAGCTGCTAGGACAAAAGAATTTCTTAACAAGTTCTAACTGATCAAGGCAGAGGTGGGTGCCT